TTTCAGTCGCCCTAAAATAATGCACTTTTATTTGGTTTATGGTTGCATGAGTGGGGCATTTTTAACATTGCCTTATTTGCATCTTCAGAAATTTGCCTGCAATGGGACTGTGATTGAGCACCCTGAGTATGGTGAAGTAATTCAGCTGCAAGGTGATCAGCGCAAGAACATTTGCCAGTTTCTCACTGATGTAAGTATGAACTCAGTGGCTTTCGGCATATAACCTGTTGGCCTTTTCATGGTAGCTGATTTAATCGACCCATTTCCTTCATTTTACAGATTGAACTGGCCAAAGAGGAGCAGCTCAAAGTCCACGGGTTCTAGAAGCTGATGTGAACTGACCCCTCCCCTCCCCCAACTCTTAACCCAACCTACCCTGTTGTTGTGCCGCTGTTTCCCCCAGCAGCCCCCCTCAAGGAAAAAAGCTGAAAATGATTACCTCTGATTTGAGACTTTTTAGTATGGCACCCTTATTAAAACGACCTGTCCTGTTCAAGCATGGGCACACGACAAGGCAAATTATGTGGGATAAATGATTTTTTGTCCCCTCCTTTAGTCATTTTTTTTAGTTCATCTTGTGCTGCTCTGAAGCACATTCCATGTAACATTTTCTCTTTGTTTTGTACAAGGTGTTTCAATAAAAACCTTCAGATGCCATGTTTTGCACAATCCTTAAGTTGACGGGCGGGATGTGGGTGGGGCAGTTTATGTATTGATTTCTTGGTTCATATTTAAATACCACAGTATAGAATCTGTATTTTTAGTTCTGTTGTGGGCCAGCCTGCTTCAGGGTTACATTGGTGTGCCGCTTGTGCACAAAGCACGGCAACCCCATCATGTCTCATTATGCATCTCTAACTGCCTTTTTTACCCTTGTTTTCACTATATGCGTAATTTCAATTTTCTAAATTTGTAGTACCATATTTTGTTTTTGGTCTGGAATAAACAATATCCCATATTTTCGATGTTCTAATTTCTTAAATGGAAAATATCTTGAATGCAGTGATTGCTTTGGTTGTAATGGCAGTCGATCAAAGGAAACAGTCATGAATTTCAGTTAATGTGGTTGTGCTTATGAAAATATTTTTTTGTTTGTTTTTTGCTTGTGGATAGTTGGTTTGGCCAAGTCATTTTATCTATGCTTTTTGCTGACTTGAATCCATTATTTAATTTCAGTTAATATGATTGTTATATATCTCAAAGAAAACTTGTTGGCAAGCTGTGTACATTTTTTTTTGTAATAAGTGCGTAAGCCAGAGGACAAGTCATAACGTGAAGTAAAAGTGAGACAACATGACTCAAGTTGAGGGTAAGCTTGCTGAAAGATTAATTTTAGTGGAGTTCTGTGACTGAATCACATTTTATAAGATTTGTTATGCTACCCATTATTCATTTTTAAGCTATAGAAGATATTCGTGAGCAACCTAGAAAAGGTTTAATAATCAAAATGTTCTAATGTATATTATAGGGACATTAGAAATGATAATCACTCTTTCCAGGTCAAACTTCAAGTCTGAGGTAGCTTTTACACTGTGACTTGGAGGAAAATGTTGGTTTTATATGAATAGTGAATTCTCTCGCAGTGCTCCTCTTTTCTTTCTCCTCCTTTCACTTCAGTTTAGTTCAACGAGACCAGTGTAAAAGGCTCATCTTAGTGGATAATCATCTTATTAAATCCCTCTACTAACAAATCTAATGTGAAAGTGCCATAACCACCATTTGTAAGCTGTTTCAAATTGTGGCTGTTTTCTCTTTTGCACAGCAGAGGGCACAACAGTAGTAAATATTACTCTTTGATGGCATTCAATTATTTTGATTTGTGTATCTTAAATTGCATAACAGGGTGATCTATTCCCAATATATCAATTCTGATATATTTATATAAATATTTGCAGCCCAGCAATGTTTTAAAGGTTTAAAAAAAATCTAAAATAAAATAGGCTAAATACTCCCATGCATATTTTTGTGGCTGGTTTTGTGTTCATCTAAGACTGCAAGTGGAAAAAAAAAAAAGTAATGCAAGTCTAAAAAGGAGTGAAACTCGTAGTAATGCTCTATTTCTATATGTAAATGACTACAAAACCAATCCTAAGGGAATCTCAGTCATGCATAGATCTCCCATCCATGCTGTACTGACGGCAGTGGCGGCTCGTGGGTTTTAAAATAGAGGAGGCACACTAATTGTATCAGTGCCGATTATTATTATTATTATTTGCTTAACCACTTTAAAATGGCTTTTTGGTTGCTTTTAGTCAGGAAACGTAAAGAAAACGACACACAGCAAGATAATATAATTTCACTTACCTGGCCTATCACTTGAAGAAAACCATCCATCCCTTCTTAAAGGGGTCATATGTACCTGTATACTGTTTGAATGACAGCTTGGTAAATCTGTTGGCGATCAAATATTCAATATCGCTACTCATAAGTACTTGGTACATTATCAGCGCAGCGGGAGACGTTCAAACTAATATCACGTAATTTACGTCTCTATAATGATTGGTTGATATCAGAAGGAGGCTATAGCCTCCCCTACGAGGTTTCTTTTCTCAACACTCCTCAGCGCTGAAAGTGAACACTCGATGGTGATTGGCTAATTTTTTTTTACCAACGGAGGCACGAGAGCTCAGCTCTCCCCCGGCCTCCCCCTCCCCTTCTCTATCATTAGCGGTTGTAATTACATCAGCAGATTCGGCACATTCGCGATAGAAAAGCGGCGCTTTCCAACTTCATTAACAAGTTATGGTATTACAGCTGTGAAATTACAAACAAAAAATACACATTCTGAGACATGAACTGAAATGAATTGTGAATTTTATTAACATTAAATCGTCCTCCTCCCATTTTCACCTCAAAATTTTGGGGAAGCTGTGCCTCCCCTGCCTCCCCCGACGAGCCGTCACTGACTGACGGTGGATAGTTCACCTTAATTTGCTGGTCCCCATTGACTTGTATAGTGTTTTTTTCTTTTTCTTTTTCCCATACTACTACTATTACTATTTACTATATACTATTGAAGTCAATGGGGACCAGCTACTGAAGGTGAACTATCCCTTTAAATACCACACGTCTTCTTGGCAGATTGAACTGGAGCACTCAGACTAATGACTAAGAGTTAACCACATGTTACAACTCTAACAACAAAGTAAATCACACTTAGACAGTACCCATAGATCGATCCATCCATCCATTTTCCAAACTGCTTGTCCTGCATAGGACTGTTGGGATGCTGAAGCCCATCTCTCAGGCTGAAGGCAGGGAAACACCCTGGACGGACAGCCAGTCCATCACAGGTACCCACAGATTCAAGTGATAAATACAGGTTCAGAATGAAGAAGAACTGAGTATTTGTTTAGATGTGGAGCTCCAGTAAAAAGTGTAGAGCCAATGCAGTTGTTAGTTATGAATAGTCAAGGAATTAGGGTTAGTAAGAGTTTATTTATTTAAGGTCTTGACAGGCATCTTAAATCACAGGTACAGTGATGGTATTAGTCACTGTATTTATAGGGTTCTCCAAAGTATCAAGAAATACAAAACTACTGTGGACCTTTGTGGAATTTTTATTAACCTATGAACTATAAGATGCCATTCTTCCAAGTCACAGGCCTAAGAAATAATGATAATACAAATAATTAATTTCACTAGCAAAGTACTTTAATGTACCCTGCACAGAAAGGCTTAGTAATCAGGTCATTGATGGAAAATCAACTAGGATATTGACCTGGCGGCTAAATGCAATTAGGTAGTCCAGTTGTGTGGGTTTAACCGGCACTGCTATATAAACTCGCTGTGATAGCCAATTGAAATCGTAATAATCATTTTATTTAATGAAACAGCTAGTATAATAATTAATTCTATGTGTCTGGATGTAATCAAAAACATTTATGTATGCTTGCTTTGTATTAAAAAACGTACTACTAGCCTGAGGAGTTGGACTTCCTCGGCTGAGTCTTGGTTCCCAAGGTTTGTAATCAATGTAAACATCAGGGAGTTTTTCCTTGCCATTGTCGCCTTCGGCTTGATCAGTGGGAGTTTAAGGGACTATTTGCTGTAAAGCTGTTTTGGGATAATATGCATTGCGGAGAGAATTCACATATCCCAGATCAAGAGCAATTTTGCAATGTAAAATTGATTTTAGTGGACAAGAATATTTTAAACTCATAAGAAAGGATTTCCACACAATGTGGCCTCCACTGATCCACTGTCAGGCATATGAATCATGTGAATGTCCTTAAAAGATCCTAGCTAGAACCTCTTACAACAGTAGAGAATCTACAGGTTTATCGCATATTATCGAGTGTCGAGTAAAAAAAAAAACGTAATCAGTCAAATATTTCTTAATAAAGACTGGGTCCGAAAAGGGAAGGCAGTTAAACTGATCTCATAGCGGATCCTCTCACTATATTGACGATATTCACGAAAAACTTCACGAAAGCGCAAGTCATTGAGTCATCTATCGCTATAAACAAAAATGCGTAAAAACGGTGTTAATGGCGTCGGAGGACTTCTTCGCGCTGAACTTGAAGCATTTTATAAATGGACAGAAGCTGGAGTCTCCAAGCTTGGATAAACAAAAAAGTGGGGTGAGAATTTTTTTTTTTATTAACTTCGATTGCAAGTCGTTGATGCATTAGTGTAATAGCGTACGTGTTATGCAGTGTTCGTCCTGTCATGATGACGCTGATTGTGTTTTACTTTGTAATGGACTATTTTTTTTCCTTTTTAGTGGAAGCTTAA